GAATTAAGCACAAAGCTACACAATGGGCTATCTGTGTTCTGCCCACCACAGGTATCGAAACCCGGTTTCTAGCGTTGTAATTCCGCAGACATACCGCTGTGCCACTGAGGGGCAGTTAGAAAAGTAATTCACGCGGGAACCAGAGGTAATCTGTTTTAAACTACTAGGGTGTTAGAAAATGTGTAATGGTAATATATATATTTATAGCAATATATGTATATAAATAAATGCATCTGTGTGTCTTGCACATGTATATGAACATTACATAAAGTCATTCATAAGTGCTATCCCTTTGTGCACTAAGCTTTGTGCGAAAATTTATGAAACAAACAAAGAATTAACTGTTTGATAGTGATAGGTATAGTTACCTAAATTCTTTGAGCTTTCGCAAAGTTTTTAGTCGTGGCATAGTGACTCATAGAATGCATCTGAGTTTTTAAGTACAAACTTTTAGCTCATAGCTTCGTCATCTCTTGACCGAATTGAGATTTGATTATATTTTACAGTTTTGGACTCAGGAGGTCAAACCCTTTCAATTGATGTATTTGACCACGCCCAAGGTCTCATAGATTAATTTACTCTAGTCACTGGCGTATCCAGGAATTTCCAAAAACATGGTTGAGGGTGCGACTTAAGGGAATTAAATCAAAATTAGCGGCCAAACTGGTAGCTACACTAATAGCATTGATAAGAATTTCACAACAAATATTCATTCATTAGCTAGCCAGGCTGCATTCGTTTTTTGTTCAACTTTGTTGAATAACTTTGCATATGTGGATTATATTTAGACCAAATTTGACACCTAATTGTTGTCTGTAAAGATCTATCAGTGTAACAAATTTGTAAAAAATCATAAAAGTTAAGTGTGTTTTTCTATCAAATAAAGTTTCCGTACCGTCGGTGCGAAGAAAAAATAGGACAAAGTTCAATTCAGATTGGAGATCTCATATTTCGTGTATTTCTTAATGGATTGTCTTGAAATCTGTATGTGAAGTGAAGTTCGAGAAGAGCATATCCACTAAAAATATGTGATAGTTTGGAATACCACAGTTCGAGATACAGAAGGTGGAAAATCACTAAACTGTCACTCCTGTTAATAACACTGTCATAATATAAAAAACTGTTCAGTTTAGATATCATTGATTCATTTATTTTTGTAAATGAATATTCTATAATTGTTTAGGTTTTGTTATAATAAGGGTTAAAAGCAGACGATTGTAGGAAGTTGTCTTTATAAGTCATTGATGTTGAGGTTATCGAACCTCGCGTGCAATACATTGACGTCAAGAATATAGAAAGTTGGGCAGATGATTAAGTGATAAAGATATAAAGCTGGCTTGACTAGGAGTCTGAGGATGCCATCTCAAGTCATAATAATTCACTCATTGAGAGAAAAAGAGAAAGAGCTAAAAGCATTTATCTGGCTATCAATGAAAAGCCAGATTATGAGTCACTGGAATTAAGGACAAAAGAAAGATCTGCCAGTTGGACTGACTGCCGCTGTCAACATCCTGATCAACATGGTGGGATTGATTGATCATTAACAGCTAGAGCAGTCAGGTAGCTGAAAGACTACTAACTGAAAGGGCATGACATTTCTTACTTTCAGAATCATTGAGTGATTGTTTAAGGCACAATGTATGCGGTACATTGTATTATTAATACTCAATCGTCTTGTCAGCAAGGAAAAGTGACCCATTATTGAAAGGATGTTGCGACCCTTGCTCGCTGAGCTTTCAGGTAGTATTTTGAGGTATGGTGTATGTACTATATGTTGTTGTTATCAATCAATTATCACCAGCTAAAACAAATAATTGAAAGGAAGTAGCATTCCTTGCTTTCTGAGCTATTGAGTAGTAATTACTGGCAGAATTTATGGAATACATTTTGTAACCAATACTCGATCATTGACAGTTAGGACGGTTTGTTGATCATAAGTTTAATGCAATCAAAAGGGCTTAACAGCCATTGCTTTGTGAGCTTTTAGTATTAAGTTTTACCACCAAGGGTGAGTCGTTAGGGACATATTGCTAGACCACCATGACTCACACAATACAGGTCTCATCATGTCGATAATTAATCATTAATTAATTAAATCATCCTAGAAAGTATGCAAGGAGAAGTGGTGTGTTTTTGACATGATAGCCTTATGACAGAGCCTTTTTCAGTGGGAACTATACTGTATGACTGTTGTCAAGATGCATATGGTGACACAGACTGTAATGACTAGTAAATCTCTTAAAATTATTCTAATATAGTGTACCTCAACCTCTATGTAAGAAATGAACTACAGCCTGTTAGGTTTGACAACAAAAAATTTAAACGTTGTTAAACTGTGAGGACAATAAATCACAGCTTAGTTATTAAATTGGAATTCAACTAATGTGACTGTTACACACAGTGTCTTTTATATGTAATTCAGAAATCTACACTGACACTGTTGCCCAATATAAATGTATAAGATACTTTGGGTTACAATACTGAGATTCAAAAGTAGAAAACTTTTAATCAGAAACTGTTATAGAGCATCTGAACAGATACATAGACAAAGTCAATGAGAAATTGTACAATAAAAATAATGATGTCATAATTACATGAGACCTTCATTTTATACACATTGATTGGGATTCTGTGAAGTCAGATAGCAAGGAATATGTATATACAGAAGTATTTCAAGATGATTTTCTAAACCAATTAGTCAAAGAGCTAATAAAGTTGACAGCCTGTTAGTCCGAGGGCCCATTACTCCAAAGGCCCAAAAATGTACATTTTTTTTAAATTTAAATGTTAAATTTGTGATATTTTATGAAAAAAACATCCCATGATATGACCTAAAAGGTCACAATTTCTTATGAATAGAGGGATAGTGTTTGTCATAATTTCCCTGATGTTATTTTCTTGTATGCATGTGTAGTTTTAGCTGCAGAGCCGGCATATTTATGCATCAGGATCGGATTTGAGAATCCTACTCTTCATTCAAGATTATTATTCCATAGTGATGTGACAACAAAGTTATATCCCTGACTCATTAAACATGTTGAAAGCTTATAGTCAGTAAAATTATCTTGAGCAATGAGTTGTGTACACTACAATGATAATTAAAATATTTCTGTTGTTTGTATTGAAAATGAGAGCAAGCCACCATGGACAACTGGTTCCACTAACCCCTGCTAAGATGTACCTTTAAACTTTTCATTTGAGTATGGACCAACATATTTGTTTATTCATTCAACTTCGACTGAAATTGCAAAAACCAAAAACCTTTGACTCTTGTGCATTTGGACTATCGAGCCTTCGGAATACTGGACAGTTACCTTAATAAAGAGGGATGTCACTTTTAGATTTATTATTAACTACTAATCAGGATAGAATTGCAAGAGTTGTAGTAGAGGAATATCTGGGTAAGTTATCACTGCAAAATTAGGTTTGATGTTTTGCAACATTTTGAGATAAAAAAAATATAATTTTAATTCTAATTTTCAGAAAGCCAAAAACAATACTGCCTTCTAACTCTATTAAATGATATGAGATGCATAAGAAGAATTCAGTTCAGATGACCAGAGTGCTTCAAGATATAATTGGATTCCTTGCTATGAAAATGTATGAAATCTATTATTTTTATATTCAACCATACCATATGCTAGAATTTTCTTATTAACCCACACTGTTTAGAGTCTTTCTGTTTGTTAATTTCCTCTCCCACTAGTTTCCAGTCAATCAGTCAGATTCTTCTTATTGTCCCACAAGAATTTCAGGATTTTGTTTTTCACGTCAAAACTACTGCAGAAGTTTCTTTAATGCAATATAGTGATAAACAGCCAATCAACAATACTCTCCTATTTTAGACACCTCTACTGACTAGTTGTTCCAGAAAGGGGTAAATGTATTTGAACTGCACACTTCCGCATGTTTATCATTCATGTAATTTTTCACAAATGAAGTAGAACAGTACACCATTTTTTAATGGGCTTTATACTATGCTGTTATAACACAATGGGTTCAAGGTTTTTACAATTAACCTAGTTAGAGGAAATGCTTTGAGATTATGGTTCACCAATTTTGTTAACTGCTTTTAAGTGTATGGCACATTCTCATACTATGTGTATGATAAATGGCATAAAATATTATAGTGGAATGCAATGACAAACTCTTAATAATTACAGTGGAGGTTGTTGTTGTTTGTAGTTAAGCACAAAGCTACACAATGGGCTATCTCGGTATCCATGCTTTTTCCACCCCAGGTATCGAAACCTGGTTTCTAGCATTGTAAGTCTGTAGACATACCACTGTGGCACTGGTGGGCAATTACAATGGAGGAGATAGATAATTCATAACCAAATGTGATATCCTATAAGTAATGAGGAAAAAATTTCCTTTAAAAAGATTAATAAATACTAAAATCATTTACACCAATATTATACATATATTTTTCTGTATAATATGAGAAAGTGTTACATATATTATTGTACAATCAGTGGACAATTTAAAAAAAACTTATTACACTGCTTGCATAATAAATCACAATTCAGCTATTAAATTATAATTTTTGTTATGCCAGTATCACAGACTGCTATTTTTTCGTTTCTTTTACATTTAAATCAAAATACCAAATTGACATTGTCCATAATTATATACCTAAAATAAATTATGTAACAGTATATGTGACTTTTGTACTAAAATTACAACACAGCTCTTGTGATTTACGTTATGACTTGTTATCAGGTGAGATGAGTAAACAATTGAACTTTGTGAAATCAAAACTTTGGAAGTAGATTCTAAATTATGATTTTCGGTTTAAATTAAGCAATCATTCATTCATTTTTTCAGCGCGTCTAAAGAGTAGGTTAGTATTTAAACTATTACTAATATCGGTTAATACTATTAGGTATTATAGCTTTATAGTTATAAGTTATACACAATTTATTATTAATATTAGCAATACTAATAGTAATGACTAATAACAATATAGTTTATGTAGTAAAAATAAACTTGTGTAATACCTTTCTACTCTCTAAAAACCAAATTTCGGCCTTCTATGTTTAAATAAAATAAATTCCCTAACTTCTGTTTGTACTTCACAATTTATTAAGTAAATATACAAACGTTAATTACAAAACATAACTTCCCAGAGTCTACAATTTAGAAATGATAGTGGGTGTTTCACTAACACATTTTTGCACCACCTGCCGGATAAGATCTTACAATTGAAAAACAAAAAGTAATTTCTGCAATCCTAAAAACTAGAGGGAAAATAAATATTAAAATTTCTACGTGGTAAGAAACTTAATTGTTTAATATTGTTTCTCCAATTACCGTGAGCTAGGTTTTCCACTCTACGTTGAAGAAATAAATGTACATGTATGATATTAGGATCGAGAAAATTCTACTAATATCTAGACATTGGTAAATTAGTTATAAATACGGGTGATTGGTGAAGTATTTATTGAAAAGTTATTAAATAGTGATTGAGAATTCAGTAAGGTATTCAATGGTTAATGATCAAAATAATATCTGAAAATGTGATATTTTCAAGTAAAACTGACTTCCTGACAAATATCAGATAGGCAAACCCGCAAATAACAGCAGATTTGATCAAGAAATAAGGTGAGAATTCTATAACAGATAACTAGACTCGTTTCTTTAAGTGTAAAATAACGAGTATGGACAAATTTGAATAAATGAGCAAAAAATATTATTCCAAGAAATAAACGAAACATAGTATGCAAGTCTGTGCAGATAAAATGACAGTCCTTCAGTTCCACAGCTTTCTCTCTGTCAGGATTAATTTTGATAGATCTAAATACGTTAATAATTTGTTCTTGAAAAAAGTGTTCACTTAACGTTCTCCTAGAAGAAACTAGCTAAGGAAAGAAAGCCTTAATTCAACAGATAAAATATATTTCTTTCTTTTTGTACAGTCGGCAGCATCACCTCGTGACCTTTGTTTACTCACAGTATTGGCTGACTGTTACATTGAATCAACGTCATAATTGGTCAGCAAAGAATATTACAGTGCCAATCCCTTTAAACAAAGGTTCTTTATGTTATTGCAATATCCTCTTGGACAGAAGAGACATTACCTACGATAGAGAACAAAGAAATAAAGCAACTTAAAGAAAGTAATCTTAACGACTTTTTGTACCCCTTGTTGTTTACACACGGAAGATACCATGTAAATCTGTCTGAATTCAATGTTCTTTAGGTAACAGGAAAGGTTGCTTTATCTGTAGTGACTAGCATCATCCTCGTAGTGATCATTTGAATTCAAAACAGGGGAGGTTGTAACTTCTAGATATTATCTTCTGTGCTACCAGTGAAGTACAATGCTGTTGTTGTTGAATGTTGAAATTTTCTACATTAAAAACGAGGTAGGAAATGTATGTTATGCCTGCATGTCACAACATTGGTGATGCTAGGTAAATCCAACTTTACCTGTGAAGTAAGGAATGTTGAATTTAGTTGGTCTGCTAAATGATCTTGTCATGATCAGTTTGAGAAAATAGTTTCAATTTAATATAAGTAACAGTCTATCTTCCAATGAAAGTAAACACACTGTGTTTGTGGTCTGTAAAACTAAAGATTTCTTTTGTATTTCACAGTTTGCCCATTCTCTTTATTTTCTCTCTCAAACTCAGGTATTCAGAGAAACACAGTATTACTTCATTCTTATATGTATATATATATATTGTTGAATCTCCTGTTATTAGCACAGTCCATCATTGATATATCGATAGAGCACTGAATAACATGATTCAAAATTATTGAAGACATCTATATGGATCAAGGAGCCAATATCAACAGCTAACCATTCTCTGAGTTGTGTAAAGTGTTAGATGTGGTGAAAATATGCACTTCCCGTCATCGCCCATAGTCTGATGGTTTAGAGAATGGGTAATAAAGACTGTCAAGTGGATGCTTGTCAAGTTTGTTAATTCTGGCCAAATTATCTGGAATAGATGACTGACATACGTGATGATGGCATACAGAGCAATTGAGCAAAGATCTGCAGGCTTTTTGTCAAATGTGATTGTGTTTAGTCAGGAAATATTACTACCTGTTCATGTTATGTATGGTCCTTCCCCACAATAAAACATCTCACAGTGTCCACAGGAATAAGTGGAGTGGTTGAGGTCTGCAATAGTCAGTTCACTGGCGTTTGTCTTACAACGACTGGGAAAGGCTGCAATGAAGACAGAAGTGTTATGAAAATGTGGTAAATAAACATTAGTAACAGTGTAGAAAGTGTGTCTGATTGTGATATGTACCAGAAGCATGGAAGCTACTTGGATCTGGCTGTGTTGGTACGTATTTCATACTTTAACAGATTAGACAACTAGCATTCAAATTACAGCAAATAAGAGAGTGGTGAATATACGTGAAACACATCAATACATTGTGTTCATAAAGCACATATTTCCATCTTGCACGGTAATTTATGTAATATGCAAAAATTACCATTTTTCCAATATGTGTTTTAACAGTCCGATTGCACATAAATCTACATGTACTGCATTCAGTAACTTGATAAGTATGTATTCATATGGAACAGCATGAGTATCTGTCATTCACCATCTGTTTGAAGTAAGCATTGCTTGAACAAACATATTGTGAAAGCAATTTGTGTACCTATGACTTTTGTTGCTTTGCCAGATGGAGATCTTTCTAAATTATGTGGTCAGTTTTTTTACTTTATATTCGTGGTTCTCACCTGTTACTATATGATGCAGTTTTCTTATCACAACTGGGTTATGACTTGTTGCTAGTCTTTTTCTGAATGATCCTGGTGCTCCAGTTTGATGAATATTTTTTTGTTTTCCAATGCAATTAAGTACAAGGGATATCCACATTTTGGAAATCCTAAATTCCAAATCTGAACAAATCTTTATGGTATGAGCGTGTGTAAATATTTTGCATCAGAATGGGCTATTACATACTCTTCCCAAAAGTCTTCACTTTTGCTGGCATCACATTATATACAAAGCACCAAAAGTTGTTAAAATATAGTTTTGATACATTCTATTCCACTGCAACTTTATATTGGCTGTGGTTGTCACATAACATGCTTATTTGCTTATTCAAAATAATTTTCTAAAAAAATTTTGATTGAGGAATATCTCATTATTTACATGTATTTATCAGAAATGACTAGACATGGACTATTAGCCATTGAATAATATGTAATACCAAGTTGTTAAATTATTTTAAATAAACAACTCCTATATAATTATAATTAGTTCTAATTACATTTGAAGCACTGTAAGGAGAAACAAAGATCTATTTGTCATTGCATACCTCTTAAACACTGCTGCATACAGTAACCTTTAAATTATTTGATATATAGATTTCTCAAGGTGCACGTGTGTTTCTACCATTTCTTCCAGTCTGTACTGTAAAATGTA